GATGCTAAATCCGTGGGCAAGTACAGGAAGGGCTCTGCATTCTACCCAGGGACCAGCGGGAAGGAGGCCGTAATAGCTTTGAAGATAGCAGTGATGTGGTTCGATCTGCATTTTAGAAAGCTCTCTATGGTGGTAGTGTGGTGGAGGGACTGAATTGGAATCACTGTCACTCCTACTTGCGAGGATATGTGTATGGTTGCAACCTAGATGAGAGGTTCTTTTCCCATCGTGCAGATGGGGGAACTGAGGCACAGCTAAGTAAATCACCCAAAGCTACACAAAGTCAATGATGGAGCTGGAGCTGGAACACAGGCAACCCTGACCCCAGAACCTGTGCGCTGAGGCTCTTCATGCCGAGTCTCTGGGGTGGTGAGAGCTAAGAAGACTGAGACAATGCAGTGGCAGCCGGGAGGGAGAAGCATCTAGAATGTAGACCTGATGGAACAAATGGATTCATCCAACAACACATTGAGCACCAACCATGTGGCAGACCATGGAACACAGCGGTGAACTCTAGACCAAGTCTCTCTTCTCGCAGAGCTTGTGTTCCAGTCATCAGGCAAGAAACAGCTATATAAAATAAGAACATACCAGGGAGTGATCGGGTGGTAATAAAATAGTCTAATATTCCGAACCACCACTCATCAGTCAGTTTGCTGTACTGTGGTGGCTTATGTGTTGCTGTGATGCTGAAAGTTATGCCACTGGTATTTCAAATGCCAGAAGGGTCAGCCATGGTGGAGAGGTTTGAGCAGAGCTTCCAGACTAAGACAGACTAGGAAGAAGGACCTGGCAATCTACTTCTGAAAAAATTGGCCAGCGAAAACTTTACGAATAGCAGCAGAACATTGTCTGATATAGTGCCAGAAGATGAGCCCCTCAGGTTGGTACGCACTAAGAAGAGTGGGGAAGAGCTGCCTCCTCAAAGTAGACTTGACTTTAATGATGTGAATGGAGTCAAGCTTTCGGGACCTTCATTTGCTGATGTGGCACAACTCAAAATGAGAAGAAACAGCTGCAAACATCCATTAGTAATCGAAATGTGGAATGTGCGAAGAATGAATCTAGAAAAACTGGAAGTTGTCAAAAATAAAATGGAACACTTGAAGATCGATATCCTAGTCATTAGTGAGCTGAAGTGGACTGATATTGGCCATTTTCAATTGGACAATCGTATGGTCTACTATGCCAGGAATTACAAATTGTTGAATTCATTGTCAAAAAGAACATTTCAAGGTCTATCCTGAAATACAACACTGTCAGTGATAGGATAATATCCATATGCCTACAAGGAAGACCAGTTAATACAATTATTATTCAAAATCACACACCAGCTCCCAAGGCCAAAGATGAAGAAATTGAAGATTTTTACTAACTTCTGCAGTCCGAAATTGATCAGACATGGAATCAGGATGCATTGATAATCACTGGTGATTGGAATGCAAAAATTGGAAACAAAGAAGGATCAGTAGTTGGAAAATATGGCCTTGGTGATAGAAATGACAGTGGAAATCACATGATGGAATTTTGCAAGACCAATGACTTATTCACTGGAGATACCTTTTTTCAACAATGGAAACAACTATACACATGGACCTCATCAGATGGAATACACAGGAATCAAATCGACTACATCTGTGGAAAGAGAATGGAGAAGCTCAATATCATCAGTCAGAACAAGGCCAGGGGTTGACTGCAGGACAGACCATCAATTGCTTATATGCAAGTTCAAGATGAAGCTGAAGAAAATTAAAACAAGTCCACGAGAGCCGAAGTACAACCTTGAGCATATCCCACCTGAATTTAGAGACCATCTCAAGAATAGATTTGATGCGTTGAACACTAATGACCGAAGACCAAATGAGTTGTGAGATGACATCAAGGACATCGTACATGAAGAAAGCAAAAGGTCATTAAAAAGGCAGGAAAGAAAGAAAAGACCAAAATGGATTCAGAAGAGACTCTGAAACTTACTCTTGAATGTAGAGTAGCTAAAGTGAACTGAAGAAATGATGAAGTAAAAGAGCTGAACAGAAGATTTCAAAGGGCAGCTCAAGTAGACAAAGTATTATAATGAAATGTGCAAAGACTTGGAGTTAGAAAACCAAAACGGAAAAAGATGCTCGGCATTTCTCAAGCTAAAAGAACTGAAGAAGAAATTCAAGCCTCGAGTTGCAATAGTGAAGGATTCTATGGGCAAAATATTGAATGACACAGGAAGCTTCAAAAGAAGATGGAAGGAATACACAGAGTTACTGTACCAAAAAGAATTGGTTGACGTTCAACCATTTCAGGAGGTAGTGTATGATCAAGAACTGATGTTTCTAAAGGAAGAGGTCCAAGCTGCAGTGAAGGCATTGGCGAAAAGGCTCCAGGAATTGACGGAATACCAATTGAGATGTTTCAGCAAATGGATGCAGAGCTGGAAGTGCTTGCTCATCTATTCAAGAAATTTGGAAGACAGTTACCTGGCCAACTGACTGGAAGAGATCCGTTATTTGTGCCCATTCCAAAGAAAGGTGAAGCAACAGAATGTGGAAACTATTGAACGATATCACTGATACCACACGCAAGTAAAATTTTGCTGAAGATAATTCAAAAATGGTTGCAGCAGTACATTGACAGGGAACTGCCAGAAATTCAAGCTGGATTCAGAAGAGGATGTGGAACAAGGGATATCATTGCTGATGTCGGATGGATCTTGGCTGAAAGCAGAGAATACCAGAAAGATGTTTACCTGTGTTTTATTGTCTATGCAAAGGCATTTGATTGTATGGATTGTAACAAATTGTGGATAACATTGCAAAGAATGGGAATTCCAGAATACTTAATTGTGCTCATGCGGAACCTGTACATAGACCAAGAGGCAGTTGTTGGAACAGAACGAGGGGATACTGCATGGTTTAAAATCAGAAAATGTGTGTGTCAGGGCTGTATCCTTTCACCATACTTCTTCAATCTGTATGCTGAACAAATAATGCAAGAAGCTGGACTATATAGAGAAGAATGGGGCATCAGGTTTGGAGGAAGACTTATTAACAACCTGCATCATGCAGATGACACAACCTTGCTTGCTGAAAAGTGAAGAGGACTTGAAGCACTTACTGATGAAGATCAAAGACCACAGCCTTCAGTATGGCTTGCACCTCAACATAAAGAAAACAAAAATCCTTACAACTAGACCAATAAGCAACATCACAATAAATGGAGAAAACACTGAAATTGACAAGGATCCACAGTCAACACCCATGGAAGCAGCAGTCAAGAAATCAAACGACATATTGCATTGGGCGAATCTGCTGCAAAAGACCTCTTTAAAGTGTTAAGAAACACAGATACCACTTTGAGGATTAAGGTGCACCTGACCCAAGCCATAGTGTTCTCACTTGCCTCATATGCATGCGAAAGCTGGACAATGAATAAGGAAGACCTGAAGAAGAATTGATGCCTTTGAATTATTGTGTTGGCGAAGAATATTGAATATACCTTGGACTGCCAGAAGAATGAACAAATCTGTCTTGGAAGAAGTACAGCCGGAATGCTCCTTAAGAAGTAAGGATTGTGAGAATTTGTCTCACATACTTTGGACATGTTATCAGGAGGGACCGTTTCCTCATCATGCTTGGTAAAGTAGAGGGTCAGTGAAAAAGAGAAAGACCCTCCACTAGATGGATTGATACCGTGGCTGCAAGAGTGGGCTCAAACATATCAACAATTGTGAGGATGGCGCAGGACTGGGCAATGTTTCGTTTTCTTGTACATAGGGTCGCTATCAGTCAGAACCGACTCGACAGCATCTAACAACAATATTCTGACGAAACACTGGGGGCTACTTGAGTCTGGTGATCAGGGAAGGCTTCACTGAGGATGTGACATGAAGCTGAGGTTCGAGTGGCAAGAAGGAGCCAGTCATACAGAGTCCTTGCGCCGAGCCCTTCTGGCAGGGGAAACAGTCAGTGCAGAGGTTCTGAGGTGGGCACGAGTTGGGTCAGGGTGGCTAGAGGAGAGAGTTGTTCCGATGGGACTGGGGAGGCAGGCTGGGGCCAGATGCTACACAGCTCTGTGGGTTATTATTCCAGGTGGATGTGAGGGTTTAGCAGGGGAGACATGGGGTCTGCTTGGCGTTAAGAGGGTCACTCTGGTTGCCACGGGGGCATGAATGAAAGCAAGACACCACTGGGAGACTACAGCTATGGTCCAGCTGCAACATGTGGACTTGGGAGCAGAGAGGAGGTGGCAAGAGATGGGCTGTGAGCCTGCAGCGGATGAGGAACAGTGGGGGCAGCCAGAGGAAGACACTTAGCCAGCAAGAGAGAAAAGATCCAAGCTCAGGATCCTGGAAAGGCCCCGGTGAGGGGCAGGAAGAGGAAAGCGGAGTGGAGGGAACAGGAGGAGAGTCGGCCATGGGGAAGGGGCCGCAGTGTCACAGGTTGCTGGGAGGGCCCCGAGGTAAGGGACCAACAATGTACACTGGCCTTGGCGACCCACGCTGTCCTGCAGGAGTGAGAGAGAGGAAGGAGTTCCAGGTGCTGATGAGCAGGGTCCAGGCTAAAGGCCAATTTTGTGGACTTGTCAAGTGTTGGAGGCATGTGCAGATTATGTATGCACCTTCAGAATTCTCCTGGACTGTGAAAGAGCTGCTGACCTCTGGCCCCTGCCCAGGGCTGCCCTCTCTGCTGATGTCCCTATTCCCCATCACTGTTCTCTCCCTAAGCAGAGCACACAGTCCTCTTCCTACTGCTCAAACACTCAATGTTTCCCTAGAAACAAAGGCAGTCGTGCAAGCCCCAAGCAGGGCAAGCAATGTTTATGTAGATGACAAGACCTCAGTGGGCTGGGGCCCAACTTCGCAGAGGCCCATTGGGGTTTCTTTTGGGCACCATTGCCTAACGGAGTGTGCGGGTGTGCGTGTGTGCATGTGTGTGTGTACACATCTGCAGTCAGGTGTGCTTGCAGGGAGGCTGGGGCGGGCCTGCATCTAATCCTGTCTCTCCCTGCAGGACTTGGCCTGGGCCATCAGCTACTACTCCCGTTTCTTCATCACCTACATCCCTTTCTATGGCATCCTGGGAGCCCTCCTCTTCCTCAACTTCATCAGGTGCCTGAGCTTTGCTGGTTAATCTCTAGGGCCTCAGGAGCACTGGCAATTATGGGGGCTTTGGCATGAGGGCCACCTGAAGGCCCTACCTCCAGCCCTGGAACCTCACTGGGGCTCTGGCTTGACCCCTGCCTCTGCCCTGGGCTGGTTGGGAGAGTGGCTTTGTTCTCCCCATGGAGAGCCCCGTGGGGCTGCCTGAAGTTCCAGCACTGAGCTGCGCCCTCTTCCAGGTTCCTGGAGAGCCACTGGTTTGTGTGGGTCACTCAGATGAATCACATCGTCATGGAGATTGACCGCGAGCCCTACCGTGACTGGTTCAGCAGCCAGGTAAGTTGCCAGCGCCCTGGGGAGCCTGGGCCTGATGTCATGTTCTCAGCCCCCGGAAACTTGGTTCCCGTGAACCAACCCGGGCCCACACTGGGCTTCCTCAGGGCTGCCTTCCCATGGTAGCCACAGGGTTAAGCAAGAAAGGGCAACGGGCGGCCTCTGGAGGGACAGGTGGGGACTGGGGACTCCAGGCAGGGCGGCTGGCATGGAGGCTGGCCCACCCCTCCACGGGGCTGCGAGACCCTGGTAAGGCTGAGGCTCATGCGAATGAGGCCTTTGGGTCTTCCTCGTGCTCTCGGCCACTCCTCCCCTTCCCCTCTGCAGCTGGCAGCCACCTGCAACGTGGAGCAGTCCTTCTTCAACGACTGGTTCAGCGGGCACCTCAACTTCCAGATCGAGCACCAGTGAGTGTGGGCTGGCGGGGCCTGGGGGCAGCAAGTGGTGGGAGGGCACTTCCCATGCTGGGTTGCACCTGGGGGCAACCTGCCCCCTGACAAAGTCCCTGCCCCAACCCTCGATCTGCACCCCAGCCCCACAGAGGCCAGGAGAGAGGCTCCCTGGTGCTGTCTCCCAGGGGCAGGGCGGTGTCCCCGGTCCTGTGCCCCATGGTCATAGTGATAACCACCCCCGTTTACAGTTTACAGAGCATCTCATTTGATCCCTGAGGCTAACAGGGCAGGAAGATTGACCCCACTTTATTGATGGGGAAGCTGAGGCCCAGCTAGATTAGATATGCTGGGCATGGAGTGGAGGGACTGCCCCCCAGCCTTCCCACCACCCCTGCAGCCCCTCATCCTTGTCTCACCTCCTGTCCCTTTTCCTCCGTTTTCCTCTTCTCACACTCCCCCTCACCCCCCAATCCATTGTTTCCATTTCCTTTTTGGAGAAACATGACATTTTGTCTCTGGCCATCTAGTATCTTTCCACCTGCCTAAAGCACAAACACCTTGTCCATAAACAGCCCCACCGTCCCTCTACATCCATGCCAGCCGACCGCTCAGGCAGCCCCAGCTCCACGCAGACCCCGGTCCTGGCGTGCCCTGCTCCCTGGGCTCCAGCCGGCCTGTCTGGACCCAGAGAGGGTGGGGGCAGGGCAATCCCCTGGGCCTCTCATGCTCCGTACCCCCTGCCGCTCTTCCCAGCCTCTTCCCCACCATGCCTCGGCACAACTTCCACAAGATCGCCCCCCTGGTGAAGTCCCTGTGCGCCAAGCATGGCATCAAGTACCAGGAGAAGCCGCTGCTGAGGGCCCTGCTGGACATCATTCAGTAAGGGACCCCTTGAGGCCGGTGGAGGCCGCAGGCAACTCCCCGTTCACCTCTGGGACAGAGGGAGGGGTTGGGGTGGGGGCTGAGGGGACCGAGAAGCACATAGTCAGCCCCCAGCAGGGACCTGGGCCCTACCCAGAAGCAGCTGGGACCCTGTGGTGGAGACAGTGGCGACCACTCCAGAGGCCGCATCTGAAGCCTGCCCTCCTGGCATGGACCCCCTCAACCGGGGTACCTCCCTTGCAACTAAGACTGTCAGGAGTTGCCTGGGAATAGGGGTCCCTCCCTGGGGAGCCCTGAGCTAGCAGCACTGCAGGCCCCAGGGATCAGGCACCCCTTGGCAGCCATGCCCTGGAGCTGAGAGGAAGCACCTGCCCCTCCCAAGGGCTCCCCCATCCTTCACCATCCTGGTCCCTGACCCCCTACCCCTCTCTTCACAGCTCCCTGAAGAAGTCTGGGCAGCTGTGGCTGGATGCGTACCTCCACAAATGAAGCTGCAGCCCTTGGGCACCCGTTGCGGGGGAGGGGGGTTAGGCTGGGTGGTGGCCGAAGGGAAGGGTGGGTTTTTGTTCTGAGGGTACCCAGGAGGCTGAGGTACACACATCGCTCACGGGCGCCATTTTTGGTTTTCCCTCTTTCTCCTCTCCTTTCTCCCTTCCCTTCTGCCTCCACCCTTGCTCATGGAGCCTGCCCATGTTAGCCTGGGCCCTCTCCCAGTGCCTCCTAGCCCCTTCTGATAGGAGCAGAGAGAGGTAGACACGAGAGGTGTCTCTACCCTGCCTCTGCCCCCCGCCCCTGAAGATTGGATGGGACCAGAAGTCCACTAATGCAGACTGGGCCCCTGCTGGCAGTCCGGGCACCGGCCTCACACTCCCTTCTGCCCCTCAGACTCTTTCCTGGGGTCTGCGGGGTGGGTGCTAGTCAAGCAGATGGCTACCTGCACTCCAGGCCTGATTCCACATCTGTCCTGCCCTTCTGCAGGGAGGTGTGCCTTCTGCTGGGAGGTGTGCTTTGTGCCCCGCGCAGGCCAGCTCGGATGTCTAGAAACACCCGGGCCTCCCTGCAGGCCCAGTTTCCCTTCAGATGCCCTAGGCCCTGATTTCAGACTCCTGCCTGCCTGGCAGCCAGCTCAGGCCCGGGGCCTAGGGACTTGCCCTCCTCTACCCCTACCCACTCCACCTCTGACCGTGGGCCCTAGCAGGTTCCAGTCCATCTTACCAAACTCCAGAGCCCATGATCTTGGGACCAAAAGGAGAGTCACTCACGTGGGCTCAGCAGAGGCAGTGGCCAGGTTAGGAGCAGGCAGCCCACCTGTGGGCTCGGGCCACCCCTGGGTGGATGGGAGACCTGAGCTTCGGGGGCAGTCAGACCCCACCTTCCCCAAGTGCCCCCAGCCAGGCATCCCAGCCAGCCCAGGACCGTTGGGCCAGGTGGAGTTGGGCCCTGCAGGGTGCTGGGGGCACTGGAGCTGGGGGTGTCCTCTTTGCCGCTCCTCATGGGGTTCCCCGGCTCTCTTTCCTGTCTTTACTCTTACTGTTATTTTAACCTTGTGCTACAGGATGCTCTCTGATAGGGAGATGGCAGGGAGGCTGGGCCTTGTGACAATCTGTCTTTTACCACAAGCCCCCCATGTCCTGCTTTTGGGAGGGCAGTGGGCAACAGAGAGATGGAGGGAGTCTCTGGGCGAGGCAGCCCTGAGGAGCAAGGGGAGTGGGGGGACCTGATGAGGGCGGAGGGTGCTGAGATGAGATGGGAGAGGGGCTGAGAAAGTGTGAAGGGTGGGGGAGGGGAGCCTGCTGCCACTGGAGCTGCTGCATTTAAAAATCTAACCCACTAACCAATATTTAGATTCAGGGAAGGGGGGGCACATTGAGCTTAGAGTGGGAGCACCCACATCTAGTGTTGACAGACCTTTGGGTTGCCATGGCAACACAGGCCTTTCCCTGGCCTTCCACTGAGGAAACAAGCCCAGGTAGCTGCTCACTCCCCTAGAGGTGGACTAGATCTGTAGGGACCTGATCTTACTTTTTATCGCGTTGCTTCCCTACCCCTGTGTTTTCTGGAAATAAAAGAGATAATTTTATTCTCACTGCCTTGTAGCTCAGTATACAGTCAGCCTAGGGTGGATGGTTGATGTGCTTCCTGCAGGCCAGGCTCACCACACACAAAGCAAACCCACTGCCATTGAGTTGGTTCCTGCTCACATCTTTCTCCCGTGGAGCGGCTGGTGGGCTTGAACCGCCGACCTTTTGGTTACAAGGGCTTTAACCACTGGGCCATCAGGGCTCCTTCACCACACACAGGCATCCCTTTTCCTCGCCTCCCCCTCCCTCCCTTGTGGTCATCCTACCCAGAGCCCCTGCTGTCTCTGCTCTCAGAGAACATACGCTCCCCTTCCCTGAAATGCACTCTGGGCCAGGAACTTTGTGCAGGTAAACCAGCCCACCTTCCTCCCCAGGTACCGCCTCAGCAGCTGATGCAAACCCAAAATGCTTGCCAGAGCTACATGAAGCTTTCCCGAACGTCTCCAGAGGGCAGCAATGAGGAGCTTACACAGGTTCCCTTCCTAACATCCTCATTTCCCTTCTCTCTCCCCATCGCCCCGAGCACAGCCTGTCCTCATCCCTGGACCTACTGTCCTTTCATGACCCGGTCCACAGCCTCAGGTCTACTGGCTTCTTCCAGCCTCCCTCCACCCATCTCCTGAAGATCACAGAGCACTGGTGGCACTTGGAATCCCAGTCTTCCTTAGGATCTGTCCATCTTGTCCCTGTGCTCACAGGATGGCTCATTCCATCCTGGCAGCCTGGGGGGAGGCCAGGGTCACCCCATCCCAGGGTCACTGACTCATAAGCAGTGGCGCAGAGATTGGGTCTTAGGCCTGTCTGACCCCAGAGCCTGTGGAGTGTACAGGAACTGGCCTCTACACTGCTCTCCAACTGTCCATCCCCGGGCTGGCTCAGCCGGCAGGGTCAAGCGAGGTGTGGCAGGGAAAAGCCCAGAGTAGCCAGTACCCAGGGGCTTCCCACCAGGCCTGAGTAGACTTTGGTGTGCCTTGTACTGCTCCAACCCCAACTGACCAGCTGAGATTGTTGTGTGATTCCCTGGTGACCACATGGTGTCTGGATTAGGGCCTGGGGTTGCAGAAGTAGCCAGGAGTCAGGGACCTCCCACTGACTGCCTGTGGCCTTGGGTGAGAGCTTTGCCCTCCCTCGGCCTCTGGGCCACAGTCTCCCCATTTGTCTAGTGAAGGGACTGGACTAGGTGGACTCCAAGGACACCGTCATCTCGGAATACTTAAGAGCCCTAGGCTCATCCTCTTTGCAGACCCCTCAGAGGTGTTCAATGCTGGAGAACACTCCATCCATCCCTGCTGCCTGACCTGGACCTGGTCCCCACACCCCCCCCGGGATGGGACAAGACAGGGCTGGTGACCAGCCCTTCACCCTAGTCCAGGCCCCCCACTCCCTACCAGCTGTAAGTCCAGGGTCCATCAGTGACAACCAGGGATCCCGGGGATGAGTGGTGGGGCGGACGTGTTAACGGGATGTCGTGGGGGAAATGAAGGGTTAGGTGGACGCTGCAGCCATGAGGGAACCCAATATATCTTGGCCCGGGAATCTCTGCTGTGATTCCTCCCCTCACCCCTGCCTTGCCGCTAAGCGCTACCCTTGAGTCAAGAAGCTGGCGACACTATGCCTGCCTGTGAAATGGCAGTAGTAGTAATAGTAGTGTCTGTCAAACTTAGGGGGGATGACCTGAGTCAAGATCAGCCCAAGGCCCTGTGAGGCGGAGGTCAAACATACCTCCTCTCCAATCTTTTTTTACCAATTTTGACACCAGCCATCCTGCCCACGGCGTGCTCTACTTCTCTTCTGGGTTTATTAATGAGTTGCAATGGCCACACAGAACTCACAGACCATACTTAAAATTAAGTGGTTTATTAAGGAACAGGGCACAACCTGGGATCAGGATCAGGAAGCATGTAGGCAAAGTCTTTAGTGCAGGACAGCTCTCTCAGCTCTTCTCAACTGTGCAGGTCTTTCTTTCTATCTGTCTCTCCGGACAAGCCTCTCAACCCTCTCAGGACAGGCCTCTTGCCTGCTGTCTATACTGCCTGCTCTGCCACTGGGTCCCTTCTGGGCCTGTTGCTGTGTTCAGTGTTACAGCCCTTGACTGCATTACAGCTTTCTTTGGAGGTTCCTTGCCTCCTCTCTTGCTTCTCCCTTTCTTGCTGCTGCTTTCTGTCTCAAAAATCGCTGTGGGGCAACTGCTTGCATCTACAAAGTCCTTGTCAATTTCAAGGCATAGCCCTCATGCCACAGACACTTCATTTGCATAGTTTATTGACCAATCCCTGCAAAATGCATACCAGTCACAGGGCAGGCTGCAGCCCAGGGCTGGGCAGAAAGTATCAAACCATCCTTGTTTACAGTTTACCCAAGAAGTGTCAGTCAACCTGGACAAAAGTAACAAGCCCTCTGGGGTAGAAAACGAGGGTAAAGGTAACTCCTCAGGGCTTAGGGGAAAAAAATCTCTCAAGTTATTTTTCTAAACAACTAAAGCAAAAGGCCACATAAAGGAACTCATTTCACCACACCGCCCAGTCGCCTCCTGTTCTGGTACTCGGCTGAGTCTCTTTCCCAACACCCACAAAACCATAGTTTCTGATCCTCACCCCCGTCAAGCCCTGACACCTGGATGTGCAAGGCCCTGAGTGGTCCCAGAACCCAGCCACCTCCATCCACAGGTGAGAGGCCGAGAGCAGAGAGGAGGAGGAACTGGCCCGAGGCAGGGACTGGCAGAATCCAGGAAGCACAGACTCCTGCTTCTAGCTCAGCACCCTCCTGGCTCTGTCCACCCTCCCCATCATGTCAGATGTCAGGCTGCTCCCAGGAGGCTTAACAGCTGGCGGGGGTGGGGGAAGCAGCAGAAGACAGTCAGTCCCCAGAGGAGGAGATGGAGGTCCCCTGGAGTGGGGTGGTTTCCCTGATAAAAGGGTCTGTGCTTTGTGTGTGCCACGGGCATGTGCAGGTCTCCCAGCTCCAGGCCCCAAGCATGGGGCTGGCAGAGGGGCATAGGAGACAGCGCCAGAGGCTATCAGTGGCCTGGCAAGTTCCTCAGGCATCCAGCTGGACCCTGAGTAACCTTGGCCCGTTGGGAGGGGAGAGAAGGCCTTTGGTAAGAAGGGGCAGGGCAGGGGAGGCGGCCACCTGGCTTGGGCTTGGGCTGCCGTTGGGAGAGACTGGCCACCACACAGCACCTTGGGCGCATCAAGACCCTCAGCTGGCTGGCCCAGCTCCACCCTCCCGCGAGAGGTGTGCTCCTCCAGACAGGGCCCTGCTTCTCAAAGAGTCCCTGGTCTGATGCCTGAGACACAGATGACAAATGTTCATTCCAGCAGGGTGCCTAGCCACCATCTATGAAAAGACCGAAGCCGTGCAGGGAAACGCTTGTCCTGGGTCCTCCAGCAAGATGGCGGTGACCCAGGACTGGGCCTCCACTGGTCCTGTCACAAAGGTATTTGCTCCTTGTCCCCTCACTCCCCACCCGCCCCCCCAACCCAACCTCCAACAATACCAGCAGGTGCTGATTCCTGTCAGTCTCTACCATCATTTGCCCCCCTGGTTCATCGGAGACTCTTAGTAAATGCCGGCTGATTGAAGGAACAAATGAACAGACAAGTCATGGCTTCCCTCAGTAGCTTTACTTTTGCTCTGGCACTGGGACTCGGTGCAGACAAAGAAGGTTCCAGGGTGTCTTAGAGGCTCCACCCTGGTCTCTCCCGCCTTTCTTTTACAAACCTGGCTGATGCTCCCTAAGAGTTTGTTCTGTGACTGAACAGGAAGAGACCTACAGATAGGGTGGTGCAAACAGTTAACACATCGGCTGCTAGTGGAAAGGTTGGCAGTTCAAGTCCATACAGAGGCACCTCAGAAGAAAAGCCTGGCAATCTACTTCCCAAAGATCACAGCCATTGAAAACCCTATGGAGCACAGTTCTACTCTGACAAACTTGGGGTTGCCATGAGTTGGAGTTGAGTTGACAACAACTGTTATTTTGCAGATGGGGAAGGAGGAGCTTAACTCTGGAGAAGAGAGTGTGACCTGTCCCTAGGAGCGTGAGCATGGGGGAACAGAGTGGGAACACAAGACTGACCTATAAGTGATGGGATTACAAGCAATATGGAGAGACCTCGGGTGGCCACTTTAGGGCAGGCCCCCAAGGTTGTTACTTCTTGTTGGCTGTCATTGAGTCAGCCCCTGACTCACGGTGACCCCTTGCACAATGGAATGAAACTTGTTAGAAATGCAAAATTGGGGATGCTGCTCCTGAGCAGATAGGGTCGTTATGAGTCGAAATCGACTCGACGGCAATGGGTTTGGTGGGGGTTTTTTTGGCTCCTGAGCCATCTCCATGATCAATTGTAGATCGGACCATTGTGATCTATAGGCTTTTCACTAGTTGGTTATCAGAAATAGATCACCAGGCCTTTCTTCCTAGTCCATCTTAGTCTGGAAGCTCTGAGGAAACCTGTATAGCATCGTAGCAACACAGAAGCCTCCACTGACAAATGGGTGGTGGCTGTGCATGAGGTGCATGGGGAGGAATTGAACCCAGGTCTCCCTCTAGGAAGGCGAGAATTCCACCACGGAACCACCACTGCCCCTCGGACACCACCAGGGGCAGCCTGGAGCATGGTCTGCCCCATGCTGCAGACACTCCAGATGCCCCTGGGTGGTGCTGCAGTCTCAGCATTCCCGCTGGGTTAGGGATGTGCTGCCGAGACCCCAGCCCTAGGAGTCCTCAGTGTTCAGATCTCCCAGATAATCTCATTGGAGCCAGCCCAGGGACTCCGCTGACCGTCTGCCAGGCTGTGGACACACGTGTGAGGCAACTGAAAACACCATGCCTTAGTCTTAAAGGTGAAATTTTTGCTTTTAACCCTTTAAAGAGGTCTTTTGCAGCAGATTTGCCCAGTGCAATGCATCTTTTGATTCTTGACTGCTGCTTCCTTGGGTGTTGATTTTGAATCCAAGTAAAATGAAATCTTTGACAACTTGAGTCTTTTCTCCGTTTATC